ACCCTGTGCTGGTGAAGAACTTGTTCACTGTATTACTATATATATATATATATCACCGATCGCCGATCACTGTTTCATCCTGACTGGAGCTTGTTCTTTGGCTGATCTAGTCACCCGTCAGCTGCCAGCAGCTCTTGGAGTTGCGCCGTCGGATGGCAGGAACCTGCCATCAGCATGCCCAATTGGGCTCGACGAACCGAAAAGGCCCCGCGTGAACCCAACGGCGGCCCTGTGCGTGCAGGACATGGGCTTTGAGGAAGCTGCTGCCACTACAGCCTTGGAAGCGTGCAATGGACACTCGGATGCTCCATGAAGATTCACATGGACACTCGGGGGTCCAGAACCTGTAATAGGATGATCCCGGTGAACCGCCGGTGAACCGGCACCTTGTTGAAGACTTGGCCACAGCGGACACAGCTGTGAAAGTCGCAAGAGTTTCCGCAGGTTTTCAATGTTCAGGTTTTCAATGCCAACAGGGATAAGATTGACAAGCCGCAGGTTTTTCATAACCTTTATGGCTCCGTGTTTGCTCTCCCATCATGGCGTGACAAGAGAGAGAGGGCATTCACCATCCCCTGGCCCATAGCCTGAAAGCAAACTCACTTGCCAGATGCTTACAAGAAGCTGAAAGCATTACTGTATGTAACACAACTGTCCAAAAACCTCACTTCACACCATCATACCTGACTATATAATACCACAATAGTTACTATAAACCAGAACCCTGAAAAGATTGAGCTTCGCCTGAAAAATTGCAACCAGAAAAAAAGGTACGTTTTGGGTGGGGTCTATATAGACCCCTTCCAAGTCCGAAGACCAATTCAATTGAGAAATAGATCCAAGGTAATCTGGACGAGGCCATGCAATTTCTGCTCTCGCAGGGTGCCTCAAGGACATGGGGCGGTTAGTTGGCTTGGTGCCTAGGGGTTGGTGTACGAAAGTAAGCGCTTTCCAGACTCAAATCCGCCGATGTGTGGCGGCATATAATGCCAAGGTAACCCATAACGTATGCGGAGGGTGCACTTCAAATGCAGCCTCCTAACATGAAAATTAAGGGGGCAACTTCATAGAGACAAGGACATTCAAAAGAATTCCAGAAGAGTGAGGGGCCTAACGATAGTTCTTGGTTTGCCGGCCACTGACCTCTAGCTGGACTACTTTTGGTAAACACTGAAGGGTCTGGAGAGGGTCAATGGCGGTCGATGTAGCAGAGCAGCTGAATCTACCCTAGGTACTGCGCGGGACTGGCATATTTACCTACCTTGGGGTACATTTTTGGGTTCAATGTAGTCCGCAAGATTGTCTATGTGGAGATCTCCAATCATCTCCACATCAGGTGTGGGCCAAATGTCCTGGGGGTGTCCAGTTTCTTTATTGTAGATTTCTTGATTTCAAGGAATAACCAGGCCAAAAGTGACAACATAGTTTTATGGCCATGCCATGGTCATTGTCCGAACGCTCATTTTTATTTCAGATGTTCTCCTAATTTTGTGACAGGAACGTCCAGAGTCTGCCAGAGAGCCTCCGAATTCCACTGTTGGACCCTTGACTCTTGGCCAGGTCACAGCCGGATGCCGCCGCGGAGGCCGATCCGGGAAGCCCCAAGGCGCCAGCGAGCAAGCCCAGGAAGAAGCAGAAGGAGAAATTGGATGAGAGTCTCGGAGTGGAGGAATGGCGAGACGCCTGGTACGGAGCGGCGCTCCATAGAGTCATTCAGTATGATCATGGAATGAGTCCTTGGGTTTCTCAAATGAGATCAAGTGGTGATCGCCGAAATGATCCAACGGGCCTGGCCTCGGATGGGTGGTGGGGAACATCCACGGGAATTCCAACTTGTGTTTACAAAGGGCATCGCTACGAACGGAGCAAGGAGTAGTAGCTCCTGGCATTGCTACGAACGTAGCACAGGACGCTACGAAGAATGTGGCACGCCTCCAGTTGGAGGAGACATTCCCGGATGGCATTGGAAGTGGCGGCAGTTTGGGGGAGTTGACTATTACTGTATAGACAAATATATATGAAGAAACTATACTTACAGTACATATATTTTGATGTCAACATACTTAGTTGTCGGGCCTTCTTTGGTGGTGACTGGAGGTCATTCCAGTGAAAGGTGACACCAATCCAGATGGAAAAGAATGGCGACTTCGTCCGACATCCAGTTTGCCCCCCTCCCCAAAGTGATTTCCTCCTGTCGCCTCCCTGCACGGATGATCAACCAGCATACCACTTGCATAACATACTTCTTTTCCATTCAGAGAGCAATTTTCAGAGAACAATCATATACTGTACATTCCGTTTGTTGAGATATATAATCACACCCTCTCGGAGGCTGCATGGACTGGATCAAAACCCCAAAAAAAACTTTCACCGAGGAAGGTGGCTACCCTGGTGGGCATGGGCTTCACCGAGCAGCAGGCGAAAGACGCCCTGGACGGCTGCAGTGGCAACCTGCAGCGGGCGGTGCTTCGGCATGGAGAGCCCGTGAAACGAAGGCCTCCGAAAAAACATGAAGCACTGCCTGGTGATTGGGAATGTTCATGGGTGTTCCAAAAGGATTTGTTTGTCCAGCCCGGCTTGGGAACCCATTGACTCATCCATTTCAGGGTTGACTGTCAGTAATTCTCAATGAGATCAATGAGTGTGAGGATGTGTGAGGACAGTCAAAAGAAGCAAGACCCTTTGGCCCTGATTCGTAGGGGTGCAGTGACATCACAGTTTTCAGGCTGCTGGTGCTCATGTAGCCTTATTGTACACTCCAGTTACCATCTTAGACGCTAAGGGAGGTGAAAAAACACGGGGTTGCAAGTGGTTCATCAAGCGTGAAACCGACTTAATTCCTTCCATCCAGCGACTCATGAGATGATCGAACATTCTTGCTCTTGGAAATTCAAAGTCTTATTCCACTTTTTTTTTGGTTTGCCGGTTTGCCAAGGTGGAATACCTGACGGGCGGTGGCTGAAGCAAGAGGTGGCGGATGATTTCGAGGTCACTCTGGACTCTACATATTTAGGAGATCTCCCACTGAACAAATCGTGTTTGGTCAGGCTATGCCGGGCTACCTGAGGTGAACCTATTACAGTACTTATACCGATACCGATACCCAATTCCTGTGGCCACTGTCGCTCAAGCCTTTGCCAGGTTTTCACATGTGTTCATCCACTTTCGGAATCTATTCTTTTGTTTGAACAGACGGACCCCTCTTCAGGAGCTTGGCAGCAATTTGACGTAAACAGCGCAGCGTTACCTGATTTGTGAGATGTTCCAAGGATCCAACTACCGCCATACTCCAGCGGTACCGGTTTGGAGAGTCTAGTCAGGGCTTCCACTGAGTAGCGCCAGTAAGCACATCTCCGACCGCGAAATCCTCCAACCTTTGGGCCACGCTTTGAAAAAGACGTTTCACGCCCGGTGGGCGCCGCCGTCGGAGCCCTTTCTGCTGCTTGGCTGTTGCAAAGGCATTGAAGCTGAGCAGCGAGGTGCGGGCCTCACGTCCGTTCACGTCCTTTCCACCCAAGGATGTTCCGACTGATCCGGGAGCAGACTCCGTGCGGATCCGCTTCATGTGGCCTCCGTACACAAGTGAGCAAGCCTCGATGAAGTGCTGGACACTGCCACGATAGGTTGCGTGTTTCCCAGCGCTTGATGGCAAATGAATGCAAAGGATGGAAACCTGTTTTTCCCAAGTGGCTAACCTCCTGCTGCAGCCACACAGGCCAGCGGGGTAGTGGCAATTTAGCATGACAACATTTAGGCAGCTGAACTGCAAATTCGACGGCTTTGGAGATTCGAGGGGTGGGTGGTGTAGACCTGCAATAGGTTCCATTTGCCCATGTCTACTCAGGGGGCACCGGTAGCGCAACACATCGGCATATCAAACAAGAGCTTATCCAACTTTGAATACATCAGTCGTAGTTAATATAATAATTTAATATATATATATATATACGAGCCTGCGTGATAATGTTGTTCATCAACTCCCTGGACATTGGACCTTGCTTTGTGGAATGCATTTGGTGCTAAAACGTAGCAACATCCAGCAACCAAGAACAATCTAGCATCCGGTGCTGATACGCAAAGGGATGAAAAGGGCCATAATTTCAGCGTTTTGAGCAACAAGGGTGATAGTTTGCCACTGTGGTTCTAGGAGCATACCTGAATGGTTTCGTTGCCAACCCCGGTATACCACTTGTCACAGACGCCACACCCAGATGGGCAGGCTCGATGGGAGTGGTTGAAAAGCAGACGGGGTGCTTTTACTGATGTAAAACTTTCCCTTGCAACGTGCATACAATGGTTTGATACAGTTTGCGTATAGTTTGTGTATAGTTTTGACCACAATTGAACTGGTTGAACTGGACGTGTGCCCAGTCAATCGGCGCAGCTGCTCCCAGCTGGAACCGCAGCCGAGCAGAGCAAAGTAAAAGGCAGTCGGCGTGTGCTTTTTGGGGGGCAAAGACCTAGAGATGTTTTTAGATTTCACGTGGTAAGCCGAGAAATGAGATGAAATGAAATTCCTCTAAGACGCAGAGAGTGTTTGTGTGTGGTCTGTGGGGTGCCCCCATTTTCCTGAGGGATTCTTGGCAGTCCTCTTCGGACTGTGCATGAGACAGAGACTCCAGGTGTGCTACCGTGATCACTTGGTTTGCTATCAGAGGTGGTGAAGCATATTAACTCTAAGCATAATCCTAACTAAAAATGTGTTGGAAACGGTTTTTTCTATCTAAATATTTGGGGGACGACTATAACTATTTCTTTTGTTTGTAAATGGCCCTTGTGATGCTTCTCTAGGTTGGAAGCTCTCATGTTCAGTACCCTTCAGTGACTGCTATTGCAATCCAACGTGTTCTTGCCCTGATAGATGTTGAATGACTTCAGGATCTCAACAGAACAGAACCAAATGTATAGGATACTGTAGCACTGACCTTTGTATGTGGGGAAGAGAGGCGAGTTTGGATATGAGATATCGACACAGTTTGATTGGACGAAGCACGCCTGAGGTGGGCTTGCAAGGCGTCTCGCGCAACCAAGTTCTAGTGATGGAGGTGCAAACGGTTTGTGTGCTTGCGACCATAATGACCAGCAGGTTGCGGCCGAATAGAGCTGGTCAGAATTGGACTGCTCCTTCCACCCTACACACCCTGTTCGACTTGTCTTGCAGATAGGGCAGGTGAGTGTTTTGAACATTAATTCAATCGTGAATACGTACAGGCCAAAGGCAAGAACACAGTCTGACTCTCGTGTTTGATGGTTTCTTGGCTTTGGGCCATTTTTGGACTTCTCATACCACCCACCCGGCGAAGATGGAGCCCAGAAGATTGACCGCGTGTTGTTGCCGTGTGGGACGACATCCGACCAACATCATCTGAAAGTGGACAAACATGTGTATATCACGAAAGGTAGCTTGAGCTACCTGAGTTCTCCTTGCTTCAGCAAACATGTATTACAATCAGGAGTTGGGATTGTGCATTGAATTTGGTCCTGTAAGAGTTGATTCTGTTCGTCCGGCCCCCCCCCCTGGATCAAATCCATCCTGCGGGGGTTCACGCCGTCATGGACTTTTACCAGGGTTGCTTGTGATTGCCTGCTACCTTTCGTTCACCCCCTCCTCTCTCAAGTTAAAGGACAAGTCGTCTTCCAAGGGACCCTTCTTTCCATCTCCATGTGAACTTCCATGTGACTGAGGAGGGTAGAGATGGGTACAGTTGGGGTAGTACCAGTTTTTAGACTCGGGGCTCCAAGGATTGGTTGCTGGAGCCTTTTCTCATCGCACTGCACTGAAATGCACACCGAATTTACACGTCTTGGACAGTTGGGGGTTCCCCACCGTGAAAGATATAGGCTTAAAATGATTTAAAACCCTCCTGCCGCTCCTGCTCCTGCTACACAAACATGTGTTTTTCGAGAAGCTCGTTCTTAAGCATTGCGTTTTTTGCCAGTGCTTGCAGAAGAACAAGGGCAAGAGCTTGATGAACTGCGGCTTGAGCCTCGCCTCTCGGCACGTGATTTGGTCCGAGACGCTTCCCGCGTCTCGACGGTGGCGGAAGGGGCCGTGGCGTCGTTCGACGGCGTGGTGCACCACGGTGTGGCGGCTTGAAACGACGCGGTGCGTGGCCGAAACGACGTACGCGCCGCGATCTCCCCGCGCTGGGCGGAGCGCCAGGACCGGCTTTTGCTCCTGATCCATGACTTCGACAGCACGGAGTGGGCCGAAGAACGGAGTGGACTTTGGGAACGGGATGAAGCAGGAACAGCTCAGTCACAGGTCTCCTTTCCGAAAAATTCCCGGAGGAACTGTCCAGCTCCAACTGGTTATATCACTTGTGCGGATGGACGGTGCATATCATGTGCATAGAGCATCATAGAACATCAAACGGTTGAACATCCACACAGCTGCTTGCGACCAGGTGATGTTGCGCCGGCCCTCCCCCGACAGCACCAAGCTCAGCCGAACTGAGTCGATTCGGTCGGTCGAGATCAAGTCGAATGGGTCAGCCTCCGTGTCCTTTGTTGCTTTTCCGATATGGAGACCTGAAGGGGAGGCGAGAACTGGCACTGGGTGTTCTTTCTTTTGGGAGGGCCACAAAATTCATTGGTTGCTAGGCAGGGTTCCTGTATGGACCTGTTGGAAAGAACCTGAAAACCATCCAGGCATGGTTATCAATGGTCAGTGAAGACTTTGTTCATTTTGTCCGACATACTTCAGAATGTCGCAACATGTGGAGGCAGCTGACCTTGACAGCAGCTACCAGCAGACCACCTTGACCCTTTTGGTGTGTTGTTTGTTGGAAGGAACGTCGTGCAGGCCTTTGATTTGGGGACGCGGAAGTATACACTGAGAGCGGGCTATAGCGCCCCAAGAGCTACCATGGAACCTCATGTCACAATGTTTTAGTAGGTTTAATTTTTGTTTGGGGGGTGTCCTATTACCTATAACAGTCTGTAAACAAGGTAGCGGCGTCATTAATGACCCCGCTGATGTTTAACATTTGGAATGATGAAAACTCCACGTTTCGATGGTTTTCGATGGTTTGCGAAGCACGTTTCGACTGTTGTTTGCTGGCGAACGAACAAATTTGTCCGAATTCCAGGGGGATTTAATGTCGCTTCGAAAGAAAAGCGATATTAATCACTGCACACCCAGAACTGCTGAGAACATTTAGTACTTTATAAGATTTTAACTTCGATCGGTATATCGGATCTGCGGATATATCATATAGTATGATGGGGTCTCGAAGTATGACACATCATAATACTTCAAAGTATATTACAGTATATAGGCTTCTGCGTGAGTGACTGCATGATGTCTTCATTCAAAGTGACTGCACTCAAAGCGTTTCAATGTCTTCATTCAACCTGACTGAACTCAAAGCGTTTCAATGTCTTCTTTCACACATAATCAATGACCATGAAAGCCGGAAGGAAGCTCAAGATGTTTTCACACTTCGCGACATAGGTCTCCGAGACATTTCCACAGGTTTTTCCCTGCATTGACTCTCCATTGGTAAGAGAGCACATAGTCTCGAATCCTGGCACTGCAGCGGCGATCGTCAGCATGACGGTTACCCAAGCTTTTGGGCACGTGCTGCTTCAGATGCCTCCAGTGTTGGTCCAGAACTTGCGTTCCTGCCAACTTCGCATGACCTGCCCTTTTAGCAGTGAACTGCATATGGACATGAGCGACATCTGTAAACTTTCGTTTCCGGGTCTTGGCTTCGGATTTCCATGCCTTATTCCCATCACCATGCAAGGTCACGTATGGCGAAAGGGACTCAAAAAAGCCAGTGCTCCGGACATCCACGAGGCTCTCTGTCGGAGGACGTCCACCTGGGAACAAAACTGCGTTGAATGTTTGATTGAAACGGACAAGCATGAAAACGGTCGGAGAAGCAAAACTCTGAATGGGTGTTTCCCCTCTTTGGCCACTTCCCCATCGGTGTTGCGGTGCTTCCCGGGGGGGATGTCACATGTTGTGGACGAACGTCGACACCCCACCCCACCCCACCCCACCCCACCAACACATGCTATGACGTGCATGACGGACACGAATGTCAAAAAACCCTGTAAATACTAAATACCACACAAAACTACAATACCGCGCGAAATTGCGTGCAGTGTTCCAACCCTACAAATACAACACAAAATGACAAAGTGCCGCAAATACAACGCGAAAGCGCGTGCAGTGTTAAAACCCTATACAAAAATACAAAGTGCCGTGTGCACCGCGCAAAATCGCGTGCACCACACAAAACCAGAAAGTGCCGCAAATACCGCGCGAAATCGCGTGCATGTAAAAAAACACAGTAAATACCACAAAAATCCACAAAGTCCCTCAAATACCGCGCGAAATCGCGTTCGAACCTTAAAAAACAGCGGGGTCGTTAATGACGCCGCCAGCGTAAACAATTATCACTATTTTAGAGGAAGGCCTTTACTAACCATCATCACCCACCGTTACTGTATATACATGGAATAGGATACACCCAAGGTTTGGCATGCAGCAAGCAGTGTTAGCCCACGGTACCTATTCAGGTTTTCTGGGGGCTAAGGTGATGTTGACAGAAGAAAAAGACACCTTCAGACCACAGAGCCCTTCAGAGAGTGAGGTCGACCACAACGCCATTGAAGGGATGCCAATGGTGGTGAACTGGGTGGTTTCGGACATGTGTATGTATTCAAGGGCGTGTCCCATGAGTTAAGGCCCATCACTCCCAGTGGTGGTCTGTGGGAGGCATCGGAGCAAGGCCCACAACGTGGTCATCATCATCCACTCTTACTGGTCATGGGACAAAGCCAATATTTATTAGCAATCATATGATATGGGATATACCTTGGGTTTGTCCTACCTGTAACAGACAGTTAACTGTTCCTAACCATCATCACCATCCTTTATTACTAGAAATTGGATAGACTGATAGACCCAATATGTTTCTTCCGTCAACGGTCCGGTGGGTTTGCTGTTTTCTTCCCCATGGTCCTGACGTTTAAGGCTGGCGACCTGAGGATGCTGAGCGCCGCGCTCAGTGGGCATGGGCAGTTGGATTCCGGTGTTTTATTTTAAACGGATTCAGATGTTGAAGGCGGAGGGAAAGGGCTGTATTTGAGGGGTGGAAGTAGAACGCTGGTGTCCGAATGCACAAGAGGCTCAGGCTTCCATTTCTACATGAACTTTCCAGGTGTGACACACTTAAGACTCCAAATGTGGCTCATGACCATCACCCGGCTCAGGGGGACAGGTTTGCGAGTTTGCGCGTGTGGTGCATGGCCTTTGTTTCCTCACTTCCAATGGCAACAGCTTTATCAACTGGGCTCAGCTGTTGCGAGTCCCCAGCCTCCTGGATGGTTGTATTGATATGTTTTGATCAGTGGACGATTCGTCCAGCCATTGTTTGGTGGACAGAGGTTGGTTTTCTATGCCAGCTGCCTTGTTTGGAGCCCAGCTGTCTCAGCTGTCAGGTGTGAGTTTCCAACAAAAGTATGTACAACTTTGAAAGATTCGCTACAACATCCATTGATTGTGTTTTGCTCAGCTGTGTTCCAATGTCTAATCAATGCATATTATATAATGCAATTGATCGTTCATTATTAACCTTTCCCCCATAGTCCATAGTCTATGTTCTGTCCATTTCTGTCCACCACTTGGGCGCTTTTGAAGAGACATTCATTCGGCCGAATGAAGTTGCATGGCGTGCAATGCAAGGGGTTGGGGAGTCCCTTGAGCTCAAGGAAGCCAACCTGTAAAAAAAACAACTACATAGCAATGGTTCTGAAGCCGAACCCACTAAGAACAAAACTATGAAATTGAAGGAGAAAGGTACTCCTATAGTGTATACTCCTTCCTTCATGTGGGCTTTTCCTTATGAACCAAGCACACTGGTTAGGGAATCCACAGAGTGCGAATTGTCTTGGGCCTGGTGGACCCGTAAAGAATTCAGATTCATGGGCAGCTTGAAGGGACAGATGTTTGTCTAGGGGAGACCATGATTCTCAGGTCATTGTTTCTATCCATGAACACACAGCCGCAACCAAGAGAGTTCTTGCTCCATGAATCAAAATAGACATCACCATGTAGCTTTTTTGTAGCGGAAAAAGGAAGAGTCCATGAAGTCCATGAGTGCCGGAAGGCGCTTTTCTTTCAACCAACGCTTCCAGGATTTGCTCGTCGGACTGGCGATTGGTCGGAGCAACATCGTCAATAAGCCCTTCGTGGCGGGGGGGCTCAGCGGAAACGTGCTTTTCGGAGCGCTTTCTTTCCACAGGGTGGTCAGCAAAATGGAACACAAAGAACAACAAGAGGAGGCAGTTCACACATGAGCAACTTTCAAAATCTATCATCCCACCGACATCATCCAATGACATCCAATGACGACGTCTTGGCCACTGCTCATATTACTTCACAGCACTGACCATGCAAAATCACCAACTGTTGAATCGTTCGGAATCCAGATGACCTGCGGGCTTTCCGTCGGACCTTGTCTTGCGCTCATTTCCATGCGAAACGACATATTTGCCGGTTTCAAAACGACCGGATTTGAAGTCAAGGAATTCAACGTGCATGTTTTGTTGAATTGTTTCATCAAGCGCATGTGACCCAAAAATAGATTGAGTGCCCTCCAAAGATGCACATCGTGAGTTGCGAATCTACTTTGAGCACGTTTAGTCCACCCAACAGCGTGGCGTAGTTTCCCCTTGTGTCGAGGCTGACATTTTCTCGAAGATACACTGCTTGGCCTTGCTGAGCAAGGTTGGCTGTAAGATTTGCAAGGGCAGGGCTGAGACTGCGGCATGTTTCAGACAGTCGCTCGTGAAGCATTTGGTTGGGTACAATCAGTTGTGTTGGTGTTGATATGTTTTGATTATCGTTTGATGGTTTGGTGTTTGGTCACTTGATCCTGCCTGCTAGGCTGGATTTGGTTTGTTTATGTCTAGTTCACATTTGCGCTGGTGATTCTCCATCACATCCCATGCACGAGTCGTTTGCGGGGGCGGCCCCCTTGGAAGGATAGTCGGCCCCAAAATAACTCATCGGTGCCCGGAGCTTCGTCCAATTGTCCAAGAAGACGACCTCTCTTCGACTCCTCAACCCCGTAAAGTCCTTAACAGTCTTTTTGCTTTTAAAAAGGATTTCTTACTTAATGCCACTAAGAAAGTACTCACCTGAAGCGCAGAGAAAGGACGCCAACTCCAGCCATGCAGAGCTGGTTTTTCTGCCAACTCCTGCCACCCGGTCCGCCGCCAGGTGCCCTTTGCGGAGGATCAGAGTTCCCCAGCGGGCGTGGAGGGGACGCCTGGTGGGCGAAGCCGGGGTGATGAGCGGTTCCAAAAGGGGGTGATCCTACGGCGCCTTAAGAGGACCGCAACATGTTGAAGTTTAAATGATGGAATTGAAATGTCATGCAGAAACTTATAGACCATTATAGACCTTTTTGAATGTCATGCGGATTTGGATCGATTTGGTCCAGAGAGGAATTTCTGCTACAGACCGACCTGGTTCAGATGCACCTTTTTGGCAGCTTACCACCTCCATGCTAAGTTCTCCACGGAAGTACGTTCTCCACCGCGATCTCCTTGGGTCGTTGCGCAACGCCCCAGGTGACGCGGCACCTGCGCACCCGCTGGCTGCAGCTGCTGCAGCTTTCGCTCGGGGAACCCTGCTGCAGCTGCGACGAAGGGCGGTTTCCCGTGGAGGAAAGTGATTTCAAGACTCAAAGACCTGACAGATGGACCGGAAGTTGGGGCCATTCCACCTTTATCAAACAAACACAAGGGTGGCGGTCCTCAAAATGGGGGCGGCCCAGGAGAGCTTGAAAAGCGAAAGGTCTATGTTTCTGTAATTCCCTCATACGTATGAAGAATGAAAACATCCAGATCCAGGTCTTCCTTTTCCCTTTGCAAAACCCTTCAAGCAAAATTATTCGATAGTCTTCGCTTGTCAAGTTTCCATCAGACTAAGAGTCAGAGCTATAAAGATCGAAAGGTGATGTCGCTGTGGCATGCGGTTGACGAGGCCTTGGAGGAAAGTCCGGTTGATTCTACTGCATGGTTACCAAAGGACCAAATATTCAAATTCCTCCCATGGGTGCAGTTTGGTGGTAGGAAGATGTACAAAATATAGGGTGCAATTTCAACACACAGGGAATAGCTGCCAGAACTTCTCCAGGCCCCTATCCTGCGAGTACCAGCACACCTTCTTGATCCTTTTTGTTTGCTGGCCGTAATTTACCTAATGTGACATGGTCACAAGG